ATAATAATAATAATAATAATAATAATAATAATAATAATAATAATAATGAAAAACTAAAATTTAGTGTGTCGTGAAATGAGAATATTCCACAGCCAGCTGTTGGTTCCTTGGACAGTGTGGGCCGGAGTTGAGAACCGCTGAATAATTAAACCAGCATCCCCATGAAGCTCGTCAGCAGAAGGAAGCCTGAAGTCTCTAAAATGTCCTCCTAGATGCTGTGTTGATGTGGACTTCAGAAAACCCAGTGGACCCACACCAGCAGAGGACATGGACCCAAACCATCACTGTCTGTGGAATCTTCACTCTGAACTCCAAGCAAAATGGATTCTGTTCCTCTCCACTCTTCCTCCAGACTCTGACATCTTGATTTATAAATGACGTTAAAATAAATGACATTTGTAGCTCATGTCCAGGAGTTAATCAGCTGATTATGGTGTGACACCATGAGTTTCTAATAATGAACCTCATCACAACAGTCTAATTTTCTGAAAGACTGAATTTATGCTTTCATTATTTGTAAACCATGATCCTCAACATTACATATAAATAAATGATTGAAATATGCCACACTGTGTGTGATGAATATATATAAACAAAAGCACCACTTTCTGAAACGACTGAAAATAAATATCCTGATGCATGTTCAATAATCCAGGTAAAAAAAAAAAATCTAAAAAAGTTAAATCTGGTCCTCTGGACATTCAAAAAACAAAACAAAGCAAAACAACAACAAAAAATGTAGAAAAGTTTTGTCTATCCGAAAGACTTCCTCAGTCTGAGGTGCTGTATTCAGCTCAGTCTCTTAAATAGCACCTTCTCAGAGTGGATCAACCAGTTTGCTGCTGACAACCAAAACCAGCTGCTCACATGCTCAAGAAGGACCATCAGCCTAACAATGGATCATTAGCACACTGATGGCTGTTTACTGTTCACAGAGGGCTGAGTGATACTAGCAAGATGGTGCCAGTGTGTTTGGCGAGTCGTCTACCGCTCTCTATTCTTCTGTTTTTATTGTTGTTTCTGTGCTGTTTTTCTGATGTGAACTCTCTACTGGTGTATGATTGCCAAACCCTTTTGGGGCTTTGTCTGCCTACTGCAAAAGTTTTATATCGCTGTCATGAAAAGCACAATTGTTTGCCCCGCTGTTGGCCGAAGTTCCATCTTACCTGTGTTGGGCACCACACCCCCTCGCTGGAGAAGGCGTCACCGGCGTTGAGGTAAATGCGGCGCGCTCTTGGTGAGGCTGAGGACTGGTTTGGCAAAATCGCCAGGAATCTTCCTCTCCCAGCTTGGATCAGTCCCTGGACTGTTTGCTTCTCGGCGCTCCTTGGACCCTGTTGATTCCTGGCTGGTACCTGTTATAGATTCGGATCAACGCCTCTTTCCTCCACGTCTCACTCCTCCCCATCTGGGCTGGTGAGGTGTCAACCTCGGAAATCTGTGACACCTTGCACAGATTACTCCTTCTTCAGCTTCGCCGGATCCAGTTCCCATCAGGATTGGTCTGGTAAACGCAAGAACTGTTGCAAACAAAACTTATACCCTGAAGGATTTTTATTCGTCCCAAGGTTTGGACTTTCTCTGCGTGACTGAGACTTGGATTTCTCTGGGTGAGTCCAGTGTTTTTTCAGAACTATTACCCCAAGGTTGCTCATATTTTAATACCCCAAG